AGACTGAGACTCTGCTTTGGAGGCTGCAAGGAGCAATGCTTGGAGCAGCTTGGAGGACACTGCTCTGATTGCCCTGCTGGCAAATTTTGGGTCTGGCTGCTGACTAGGGGGCTCTGGGCGAGTCACCTCACCGTGGTGTAAAGTGTGAGTTGTGAGCAGCAGCCCTGTGAGGAATGAGCGGGGTCTTTGTGTGTGTGCAGAGTGTGAGCTGCTAAGGGACCTTGCTCTCTGCCCAGCCTCTGTGTGCTACTGTAATGTAAATAAAAATGTGCAGATAACAACGAGGTCAAGGAACATCTCTCAAACTCGATAATTTTCCCTGATGGGAAGATTTATGTGGCTGTTTCTTTGCCGAGCTGGAATTCTGCCAGATTTTGATCAATGTCCAAGTAACCACGCAGAAATACTATACCAAGGAGAGGGGAAAACCAAGGAGTTGTGGGATTGCCAGGCTGCTGTTATGTTTGTTTAATTATTTTATTAAAAAGAAATTAAATAATATTTAAGGTAGTAGTAATTTTAATAGAATAGTTTAGAAAAGATATAAATAAGGGTTAATTAGGTTTTAATAATAGCGCATGAGCAAAAGATACTGTGGGGTACAGAGGGCAGAGTTTTGGGATTTTTGTTACTTTACGTACAAGTTTGTTAAGTGAAAATTATTTTTTATATGCTATGTGTTAATGTAATTTTTTCTCATTTTTGGTTTGTTGTATTTTTATTTTTGTTTTTATTATTACTTTTATTACGCATGTGTTACTACTTGGTTTGGTGGTCGCACAAGTCTTTGGGAGTTGTTTTGGGTGAAGATTTCTCTTTTTTTTTGTTTTTTAATTTACTTTTGGCTTACACATGTGCACTAAGCTAATATAATGTAAGTTAAGACTAATGTATTACTGCATTTACATATTAAGGTAATAAATTTTTTATAATTAGTATTTTCTGGGACTTAATTAGGTTTTTGGTCATTTTTAGCAACTGTATCTTTAGCTTCTTTTTTGTGGTCTTTGAGAATATCTGCTTGGAAGGGGGGGGTGTGGAGCTTCTCTTCTCTCTTTTTTTTTTGGTATTACAACCTTTAACTCTTGTATTATTTTTAAATATTAATTACTGTATCAATATTGATTACTGTTTTAATTTTTATTAGCACGAATCATACTTATTTATCCCACTGCCATAAAGCTTGCTGTAAGTTTGCAATCAAAACAAAACCCATCAGGAAGCAAAGCATCCGTTAAATGCTGGGCACTGCCAAGGAAGTGGCAGAGCCTTGGCTGGAGCAGCAGGAGAGCTGGCACCCTGCACTCTTCACGGCCTTCAGAGCTGCTTTTGAAAGAGTCCCCACCTCTGCAGACAGGAAAATGTTCTCTGCTAGTGCAGGGAGTTATTGATATGTTTTCTCCATGCCTGCTGTCTCTCTGCTGACTGACCCTGTGTGAGGGATTCAATGGAAGAAAGGTTTTTTTTTAAAAGAAAAAATCCATCCTACCTAGCTGGGTTTTTTGATGCCTGGTTTGCCACACTAAGCTTAAACTCCAGGACTTAAAACCTCATTTCTTTGAGGTTTTGGGTTTTGTTTTTAATTACTATCTCAGATTGAATAAGAAGGAAAAGCAGTGTTCACTCCTTGTGGATGACAGCACTTTAGGGTGTATTCTGAACTTGCAATATCAAAACCACTTTTGCAGACAGAGAAATCAAGAATAGCTCCTGCTACTTGAACATTAGAGGCCTGAGGAGCAGGATAAGTAGTGATTTAAAAATTAAAATTTAAGATATTACTCCAGGGTTAAAAGAAATCTCACCTTAGCCCCTCACTGGAAGGTGCACATGGTGTCTGGATTTGGCAGTCTGCACTCCAGGCTTGTACAGTGATGTCCTGAGTCCCTGTCCCTAATAGTTGAAATATTTTTTGATACCAGTGCAGTTTCAGAGGGTGCTGGAGTGCTTAGACAAGAGCTGTGTAGCTCAATTCTACCTGTAATTATGGGACAGTTTGTAGAAGCTTGCTTAATTTTTGTCTGTGGCTCTACTAAAGTGTCCTCTTGGGTGATTTGTGTGGTAATTTGGGATGTCAGATGGTCAATGCTCTCACTTCCCTCTCTTAATAAATGATGTTTCACATGGGCTAGATTTTTCAGGCATTAATTTATCTTTAATTCAAAGCCATTGCCTTTTGGACATTTCCAAAGCATTTTTACCCTCATCTTCCAGATTCCTCATAGTCCTGCTTTTTACATTCATAAAAATGATACCATTTTGAGTTTTTAAAGGTAAAGGAATGGCTGTAGAAGCAAATTCTTAGTTTTAAAAATGACAAAGTGTTCTATATCAAAGCAGCTTCCCAGCAAATGGTGAAGAAGCTGCTGGACCAAGGGTTGAAGGTACAGTGAGGCACATTAAAGCTTTATTTATGGCAGGACAGTACTTCCAGTGCTGCCAGATAGTCCAGGTAGCTATTTCTGTCTTGTGCAGGATCCAGCAGTTCTGTGCCAGTGCTGCTGGGAGGTTTGGAGCCACTTTTGGGTGTAAAACCCAGTGTGTTGGAGCAGGGAACTGACCAAGTTGGCTGTCATGGTTCTGCCCCTCCTTGTTTTGGTAATGTCCTTAATTAAAATCCTTTCTGAGCTGTGTCACTGATGACTGTTCCATGCTTTTATGTGGACTGTACAAGCCTTGTTTAAGCTTGAGGATCAAAATGGCCCTGTGGGGAGGCAGTGCCTGTGCCAGGGAGTTTTCTCTGCTGGGTGGGGACTGTAAGGAGCTGCCACTATCTCCATGGCACAGGTGAGGAGCTGTGGAGTGAAGATATTGGAAGCCTTGGCTAAGGTCAGGGAGAAAAAGTCTGAGAGAGGTAGGAGCTATGGATCTGTGGTTTGTTGAATTACAGTTCTGGGATTTAATACAAATTAATTAAAAATCCTTATCAAATTGGAGTTTGAGAGGTAGGACATGAGGAAATTGAAATGAAAAGAGACTCATATTTAGCCTCAGGTTATTTAAAGGGAAGACTTAAGTTAGACTTCATAGTTTGAAACTTGTGACCCAAATGCTCTCTAGCAGTAGGAATTGCTCTCTGTGGGTGTTTTATTTCCCCTCAATCCTTGCACTGGATTCAGTTTGTTAATCAAGAAGACAGCAAACAAAATGTTTCAGTGGTGGTCACCAGGGACCTGCAGGCAGCCTTGCATTCTCTGGGATGATGGATGTTGCTCAGAAACCTGAATCCATGCAGGAAGCTCCCCAGGAAGAGACTGAGTGAAACTTCGTAATTATCTTTTTTTGTTGTTTTTAATTCTTTGCCTATTTACCCCCCTCGATCTGAAGATTGAATTTTGCAATATTTCTGCTGCTGCTTTGACTTGATGGAACACTGGGAGAAAATCCTTCCCCAAATCTGAAATCCCAAGTAACATTTTAGTTATGAAATTCCATGTCCAGGGGATGCCAGCACCCCTTTTGGCTGCTTGGTGATCACCCTGCCTGTCACCAGCAGCATGAGCACATGAAAAACCAATCCTTTTGGAGCTAAACTGGGCTCCTGAGATATCAAAATCAGGGGCCAAAATCCTGATTTTGGAGCTATACAAGAGAGTCCTGCTGGCATTTTTCTCCATCCTTGGAATGTAGTGGGTGTTGAACAAATGGTGGCAGCATCAGAACTGGATTTGGCTGTATTCACACAGGGGTTTGGTTTAGGTTTGTAGCAGTTCCCTCCCTCTCTGCTGCAGATCTGTTTGTTTGTACACAGCTATTTTGGTAAAATTTCCCCAAGTTAGGTATGTGTTTACTTTTTGCCTTCATCTAATCAGCAGCTCACAGGGTAAGTTGATGTTCTATATTTAGCCCAGATATTCAGTAGAGATGATTAGGGCTGTATTAATGCAGAGGTTTTTGGGTTTTTCCTAGGATGTCTCCCTGCTTTTTCATTCCTTCTGTCCCTGCTCATGCTTTTCTGTTCAACCAACAAGTATATTGGTATGGATTTCTAAACATATTTGAAATAATTTGCCTCTGGAAAGTGATTGTGGTCTGTTTGCCATGAGAAGAGTAGCTGCAGTCCTGATGTGAGCTGAAATATCCAATGTTTATGGAAGATGACATAGCAAAGCTGTTTACCATATGCTACACAAGGCTCAATGATACTGGGCTATTTTTACCTCTGCAGTTTGCAGAGGGAAAACCAGAATACAATAATGCAATTTATGTATTCTCCTCTATTTCAAATGTGTCTTTGAGAGAGAACATGACAGCACTGTCTGAGCCAGGTCATGGGATATCAGTGTAACACCAGTTATTATCTGAGCCTTGATCTCTAAACTTTAATATAAAACTGGGATCAAAACCAGTCAGGTGCATGCAGGAAGAGGCATAATAAGACATTTATGAGATTCAAAGTGCAGATCACTTCAAATTGGGTTGGTTTTGGTGACACCTCTCACTCTCAGCAGTTCACAGCATCTCCCTCTGCCCCTTCTCTCATTTCCCTGGACTGAGATCCTCTGGCAGCTGCTGTCTGCTGTTCATTGTGGGATTTCAGACTGCCCCTTGCAGCACAGCAGAGCCCTGTGAGCTGACTGGGGGCCAGGCAGCGTGGGTCTAGGGACAATGCACTTCAGCTGACATGGAGCTGGAAGCTGTGGATTTAGCACCTTGCATCAGTGCATTCATGGAGTCTGCATTGCATCCTAACTGTGCTCCCTGAGTGGATTCTTATGTTGCCCTCAGTGTTTTCTTGACATGAAGATGCTCTCTGAGCCAGCTAAAGCAAGAACTAGTCCCATGGAGCTTGCTGTGTCTGCAGGCTTTGAATTTGAGAATTCCAGTGTCTCCTGGGTCTTGAACTGTTCCCGTCTCCAACCTAAACTGTGCCACAGCAACAAAGCCAGTGGGGTAAAGAGGGGAAAGAGCCTGACTTTAAATACTGTCCACAGAAGAAATGTCACAACCTGCCTGCTTCAAAAACCTCTATTTACACCCTTCCCTCTTTCTCTCTGTAGTTTGCTCTAGGTTGTATGGTTGCACCCTGGAAATGGGATGTCAGTCCCATGCAGGGAGCATAAAGGAAGAAAGAAAATCTCCCCGTTGCTGCCGCAGTGACAGCGAGTGAGAGCCCGAGCAGGAAGATGTCGGCAGTCGCCTCAGCCATCCAGGCTCCTCAGGGCCCCGTCAATCCCCCGCCTCCAGAGGTGACAAATCCCAACAAACCTGGCAGGAAAACCAACCAGCTGCAATATATGCAAAATGTTGTGGTGAAGACCTTGTGGAAGCATCAGTTTGCTTGGCCTTTCTACCAGCCTGTTGATGCAATTAAACTCAATTTGCCGGTATGTTTCTGTCGTCTTCTCAGCATAGAAAGCTTTGTGGTGGTCAGGTCAGTTTTGGGATTGCTTAGAGGAAAAATATCAGTGCTGGGGTTGCTTAGAGGGGAAATATCAGTGCTGGGGTTGCTTAGAGGGGAAATGTCAGTGTTGGGATTGCTTAGAGGGGAAATATCAGTGTTGGGATTGCTTAGAGGGGAAATATCAGTGCCTGGGATCCCTAAGAGGGGAAATATCAGTGCCTGGGTTGGTGTTGGGCTCAGCCAGTGGCTTCATGTGCAGCAAGACTCTAATCCAGAACAAGAAAATGACACTGCACAGCCCTGCAGCATCCCCTAATCACAGCCTCTGCAGGTGCTCCAGACCAGCCCATGGAGAAACTGGGTTAACAGGTGGAAATCTTTTAAAGGCCAAAATGCTCTTAAAATTAGAGACTGAAACTTTGAGCATAGTTTTTTTAGCCAGGCCTGGTAAACTTCTGTGAGTGCCAGAGGCAGCCTTTTAAAAAGGGAGGCAGAAATGCTGATTCCCAGACTGGAGGTTGTGTGTTTTGGAGACAGGTTCATTATAATGCTAAGACTAAAAAGATACAAATTAGAAAATAAATGGAAATATATTTACATTTACAATTTCCACAAAATTTAGTGGGGTGTTTTTTAGGAGGGGGGATGAGGAGAAAGCAGGGGTTAGGGGGACTTCTGATTCAGTTTTGTTCACATCTTCCCTGGTTTTCTAACAGGATTATCACAAAATAATAAAAAACCCCATGGACATGGGGACGATCAAGAAGCGCCTGGAACACAACTATTACTGGAGTGCCAGTGAATGTATGCAGGATTTCAACACCATGTTTACAAACTGTTACATTTATAACAAGGTAAAAAAACCCAGAAAAGCTTTTAGGAAACACCCACCTACCCCTGTTACTGTGCAGGTTTTAAGCAGGGCCGGCTCTGGGCCCTCCTTGCAACGATTTGAAATGCCACTAATTGCAACCATGTTACTTGAAATGCACAAAGCTGTCTTTGTGCTGCCTCTTTCTTCCCCCAGACTAGTTACAATGGCAAATATGCCTTTTAATTATAGGTAGATTTCTGTTTTGGGGTTATGCAGCAAGTTTTTATTCCTTTTATTGTCAGTTAGGAGTTTTCTGGGATGAGCTGCACTTAATGCGGTGCTCTGCAAGTGTTTTGAGGTGCTTTAATGCTGTGTGTTAGACTGGCACTAAATAGTATCTGTTAGCAGCAGAAAGGAGTTCAAGAATCATAACTCTTCTTTGACTGTCTTCATAAATATGTTCATACTTACACACATTTAAATTGCTTTATTATTATTATTTTGGGTTTGGCTCGTTTGCAGTTTTGTTAGGTTGTTAAAATTCTTTGTGTTCTGTTTTCTCCAGTCATTTGTCATCATAGACCCAGACTGGAGAACAGCTGAAACAAACAAATTAATTAGTTTGAGCCACAGAGTGTGTGTTTAGCCTCTTCCCTTGGACCTGCTGGCAAGCAGGGAAGGACAGCTCATCTGTTCCAGTTTGCTGCTTCCACACTGCTGCACTGGATACTGGTTTGTCAGGCTCCTTCTGAACTCCTGCTCATTCTCTGGATGCAGCACACTTAGGGGCTGTAATTATTGCATGCTAGAGCAGCATAGAAGAGCAGGAGAGTGGCAGGAGGAGGGAGAAGAGCTAATCTGTTTATTGTCAGCGTTTGAATACCATAATTTATTTGAAGGGCCTCAGTGTTTTCTAAGCCTGCTCTTCACAGATATGTGAATGATACAACAAAGGCTCATATTCTTCTTTGTGCAGCCCACAGATGACATTGTCCTCATGGCCCAAGCCCTGGAGAAGATATTTCTGCAGAAGGTTGCCCAGATGCCTCAGGAGGAGGTGGAGTTGCTACCCCCAGTTCCCAAAGGCAAAGGTCGCAAGCCCTCAGCGGGCACACAGAGCACAGGTAGGGATCCATGCAGGGACAGGGGATGTTGGGAGCCGTTCCCAAGGCCTGGGACACCTCCTGAGCTGCTGGACTCTGCAGATGGTGGAGAGGCTGGGAAGGGAGAGCGTGGTCTCACAGTTAAACCAGTGGGGAGGAAGGTGGGAGATGTCTGGGGATGCTCACTCAGGGATTCAGGGCTCGTGTGTCTCAAGGCCACCCTGCATTTGTCACACCAATCTTGCCATCTGTGATTTGCCCATCCAGGCAGCACTTCAGGGAGGGAAGGCATTGCTGTTGCTTCTCTATGCAAAAAAACAACCCAAGATGTTCATAAATGCCAGTGTGCTGTCAGTGCCAGAGCATGGCATGGAAAGTCTTTACAGATTTGGGTTTACACAGCTCCCCCTGGGTCCTGGCAGAATTCTGGCACAGCAGAGACTTGGATTCAAATTCTGCTAATTCCCTGAACTCTGTATATTTTCCTTTTGCACACATGATTGCAGCATCATAAAATTAAAGGATTTATTAAGCCATTGCAAAAGGCTATGTACACCATTGCATATCAGTGGAAATTAAGTTTAGATCAGCTTATTTAGAATTGATTTTAAATGGATTTAGAACTAAAATGTCCAAGCGTGGTAAAACAGTTCATAAAGGACCTTGTGTGGGCTGAGTTAAATGATGAGAGTAATTTTTTTCCCCTCTAAACAAGGTCTAATTGTTGCTCTGGGAAAGTCAATTGTTCCTCTGTTTTCCCACATTTCAGGTGCTAAATGGAGCTATAAATCTATCCAAGCTCAGAGAAATTAATGATGATGTATCTTTTTATCAAAGGATGTTGAAACATAGAAGGAGGATTGCTGCTTTGATTATTGGGTAGTAGGTTTGTCCCCCTTTATGTTAAACCACTAGGCAGGGTTTTAGCAGTGCAGGTGCAGCATCAGGGATGTCAGGATGCTTAAGCTCTACTGAGAATCATAAAATACAGAGTTGGAAGGTACCCACAGGAATCACTGAGCCCAGCTCCTGTCCTGCATAGCCCCAAGAATCTCACCCTGTGGGATTGTGCATTTTTGGCAAAGTGCTTTGTACTCCTGGTTGCTCAGGTGGCTCAGGGCAGTGGTTGTTGCCATTTGCAGGGTGTGAACACCTCCCGCTGTTCCATCTCCTGCTGTTCTCCTGAGCTCAGTGCAGCTCTGGGAGCATCCAAGGGGTGAAAGCTATCCCAGAGCAACACTCAGTGTGAAAAGCTGCAATTATTTTGTGTGTGGCTGACCGGTGTAACAGCACCGAGCAAATCCCACCGTGTCCTCTGTGCTCTCCCCGGGATCCCTCTGCCAAGTCCAGTTTGCTCCAGTACCCTCCCATCTGTACCCACGGGCGCCTTTCCCCTCTGCTCTGACAGGAGCGCAGCAAGCCGTGGCCGTGTCTTCCGTGTCCCCGCCGGCGCCGTTCCAGAGCGTCCCTCCAGCCGTGTCTCAGACGCCCGTCATCGCTGCCACCCCCGTGCCAACCATCACCGCCAATGTCCCGCCTGTCGCCGCCCCTGCCGCCGCCGCCCCGCCCCCGCCCGCCGCTCCGATCATGCCCGTGGTGCCTCCCACGCCCCCGGTCGTCAAGGTAAATGCACTGCCAGCCCTCGCTGCTGGGTCCCTGCTGTCCTGCGTTCATCGCTGGGTGTTGGGGTGGAGAGGGGTGAGAACGGTTCTGCCACTTTTCACACGGTCCAGGCGAGGTGGTGGCACCTGTGCCTGCTCCAGTCCAGTTCCAGCCCCTCCTTTCACAGCCTTCCCCTGTGCTGCTGCTCCAGGGCTCTTGGAATTCTCCCCATTTTACACAAGATAGCTCAAAGCATCTCTTCCCTCTGTGACTGAGCTCCTGATTTTACTGGGGTTCTTCATTTAAGGTTTGCTGCCTAAAGCATCTCTTCCCTCTGTGACTGAGCTGATTTTACTGGGGCTGTTCATTTAAGGTTTGTATCTCAAAGCATCTCTTCCCACTTTGACTGAGCTCCTGATTTGACTGGGGCTGTTCATTTAAGGTTTGTATCCCAAAGCATTTCTTCCCTCTCTGGTTGAGCTCCTGATTTTACTGGGGCTGTTCCTTTAAGGCTTGTATGTCAGAGCATCTCTTCCCACTCTGACTGAGCTCCTGATTTTACTGGGGCTGTTATTTTAAGGTTTGTATCTCAAAGCACCTTTTCCCTCTGTAACCGAGCTCCTGATTTTACTGGGGCTGTTCCTTTAAGATTTGCAGAGCCCCAAGCATTTCTTCCCTTTGTAACTGAGCACCTGATTTTACTGGGGCTGCTCCTTTCACATTTGCAGCCCAAAGCATCTCTTCCCTCTGTGCCTGAGCTCCTGATTTCACTGGGGCTGCTCCTTTAAGGTTTGCAGGCTCCAGCATTAGGAATGTTCCTCTCTGCTTTCAGCCAGTTCAAGACAAGCCTGTCACTCCAGTTGGAGGAGACTGATGTTGCCTGCAGCTTTTGGGTGCATTAGTTCTGTCTTCCTTACTGAGTAATCTTTTGGGAGTTGTCACTGGTGTTTTGCTATTTATTATGTTAATTTATGGGTAAATGAAGACATTACCTAAATAATTGAAATTCTCTTAGCAAGCTGTGAATTGCTTTAAAAATGATGAAAGCATAGCTGAGAGAAAGCTGGGGATCTTTTTATCTAAACTGTGGGATTAACTGCAGCAGTTTTGGTTGTGAGGTTGCTTGGACCAGCAGAGGCACAGAATTCTTTTGGTTTTTAACCCAATAGTTTGGGAATTCCTAGAGAAATTGGCAGATCTTGCAGCTAGTCTCTCCTCCTGTCTTACATTTCAGTTTCTGTCCAAATAACTTGCTTCTGAGAATCAATTTCATTTTAAAACTCAAGGATGAACCCAGAAGTGAGTTTGCCAAGTACACACTGCAAAATTAATTCTGCTTGGGATTTACTTAAGATTTCCCTTAGATTTCTCCAAGGAACTTCTTCCTCCCTATCTTCCTCTCCAGAGAAATAAATCCTTGATAGGAGCACGAGAGAGCCGAATGGACAGTCCCAGCTTGAATTTATGTGAGAGGGTTTATTTGCTTAAGGCAAAATCTACCTTAGCACACCCACTAAATACAGGGGAGTGAGGATTCATGGGTCTTTGGTGATTAATATGCTTTGGTTCAGAACTTAGAGCCTGATCCTGCCACTGGGGACTCAGACATGTGCTTAAGTTACTGACACTTGCTCAGTCCTGTGCATCAGCTGAGCTGCAGTAATTGACTGGGTGCCCTCCTTTCCCTTGGCAAACACCAGGTAAGAGTCCTGGTTCCCTCTCAGGGAAATAACACATTTTACAGCATGGCTGGGCTTGGCTTGGAGCCATGCAAATGGTTGGTTACTGTGGCTCAGGTGACATGCAGTGTTGGAGCCTTTAGTCACAAATCCCATTTATCCCAGTGAAATAACTGTTTTTTTTTTTCTGTCAGAGGACAGGCAAAACTAAGGATGAGTGAAATATGGGTCTCCTTGAGCCAGGTCTCATAATCTCTTAGAGATCTATTTCACACCCAAGATAGCTCAGCTACCTTAGAAGGCATAAAATCAGCAGGATGGCTTCTGTGATAGTGTTGGAAACAAAAAGTTTTAATAAAAGCCAAAATAACAAAACTCTTTACAGAGAAAAAGTGAGCTAGGTGCAAGACATCCTTGCCCCTGGTAAACACCCCACAAAACTCTTTACAGAATAAAACTGAGCCAGGTGCAAGAGATCCTTGCCCCTGGTAAACACCCCACAAAAGCAATTTATTTCTTTGTTATCTTCTTTTTGTAGTAAATTGCTTTGGACAGAAGGCAAAAAGTCCTGCCTATTAGCTATCCTTAAGTTTGAGGTGAAGTCCCCCAAGTCCTATGAGATGCCTTTTCACCTAATTGAGGAGAGAAACTTGTGGGCCTATTTCCTTTTTAAGGGGACAGAGGATACTTTTGTCACTCCGTCACCAGAGTGACGCATTCCTATAGATGAGCTGTGCTGAGGTTTCTGCAGGCCATGTCCTCATGGAGCCTGTCCCTGTGCCATTTCAGAAAAAGGGAGTGAAGAGGAAAGCAGACACCACCACGCCCACCACATCTGCCATCACTGCCAGCAGGAGCGAGTCCCCCACGCCGCTGTCGGACCCCAAACAGGCCAAAATCATCGCGCGCAGGGAGAGCGGCGGCCGCCCCATCAAACCACCAAAGAAGGACCTGGAGGATGGAGAGGTCCCTCAGCACGCAGGGAAGAAGGGCAAACTCTCTGAGCACCTCAAGTACTGTGACAGCATCCTCAAGGAGATGCTCTCCAAGAAGCATGCAGCCTATGCATGGCCCTTTTACAAGCCCGTGGATGCAGAGGCTTTGGAATTACATGACTATCACGATATAATCAAACACCCCATGGATCTCAGTACTGTGAAAGTACGTCCTCTTTTACCACCTCTTCTGGCAGGGGGTCCCTCTGCTTGCAGAGGACTGGCTCCTGTGTGGGAGGGGGAAGGGGAAAGGGTGGAAACTGAACCTGTTTGGATACCAGCTGGATATTTTTATGTTTTGTTTCCTTCCCCTCTCCCTTTTTTGCCCTAACCTGGGACAGCTTTTTTTTTTTCTGCCCTGCAAAGCAAATGATGTACACAAAGTACAATGGCATCCTCTCTTTGTGGATAGCCCAGGTATTTAACTGATGTTCTTAGGATTGTGTTGCACTCGGAGAAGAGGAGGTGCTTTATTTCATAGGATTCAATTGATGGTATCCCATTTCCAGAAGCTGCTGCCTACCTACTTGGTGGTGGCAGATAGGCTTACACTGAGCAATTCCAGCTGGGATGTGATGGTACTGAGGGAGATGTGTGCAGGTTTTGTGGTTCATGCTCCAATATTCTTGTTTTTCCCAGTAAGTTTGGAGGTTTGCTGAATCCCTCCACGAAGCAAAGCCATGTCTTTGTAGTTCCCATATTCTTGTGAGCCAGGCACTGCATTCTGTGTTGATGGAGGGGAGACTTCCATGGTGGCAGGAGGTGAAGATGTTGTTGCTGGCTTTCACTGGCATTGCCAGAAGGGTTTTACTTCCACTGCGACAGCCTGGGATTGTCTGAATGCCCAGGTGACAGAAGGGAAGCTGTGGTTGTAATTCCTGTCATGGTACCCAGGAGCAGCATGTCACACTCTGATGTGCCATGCATCCATCCCAGGGGTCCTCTGGGTCTCCAGACATACCTGCAGCCTGCTAGTTGAAGCCCCAGGTGACTGCAGGAAGATTAGAGATGGACAGAGTGAAATCCTGACCCTCTCAAATATTTCCATATGTGCTTAGGTGGTTTCTTATTGCAAGAGATTATTGTGCTGTGTTCTGAAAAATCTAGGTGCAAAGTTGTGATTTCTTGGGTTGGTGATTTCTTCATGCTTAAGTCTCTTTAAGGTCCTGACTTGATTCTTTTAAAATTGCACACCTCTGCCCCTCTCTGGCAAGTGCAGGTGATATCCTCCCTCTGCACCTGACTAGTGTGGGGTAGAAAATTGGAGACAGGCTGATGGCAAACCCAGTGGAGTCTTTTACACCTAAAGACTCTGGGTTTCTCATTCCACATGGTAGTATTTTTCTTAATTAAGTTGTTTGAAGTGCTGTCTGGTATTGGTTTTTTATGGAGTGTTTTATTGTCATTGCTCTTGGCCTGCAGATCATGGTGTGACTTCTCAGAGATGCAGCTCATAATCTGTTCACTGTGTGGAACAGAAACCTGCCATTTGCAGGCACTGTCATTTTCCAGTGTCAGGCACTGTCTCTGTGGCTCTGAAAGGTTTTTAGATTTAATTCTGCCCAAGTGACAATGGCTGTGATAAACCAGCACATCTAAGGGCCTCCAAACTAACCTGGGAGGAATTATGTGAGAAAGTAAAACACAAGCATTGCTGCAGCTGTAACACATCTTGTCTCTTATTTGTGTGGCTGTTAGGTTTGATTTTCCCCAGAGAATATCCTTCATGTCCAGGAGCATTTTTTTCCCTGGCAGAGATGTCTCCAGGAGGGTTTGGAGGTTGTTTGCTCTGTGTGTGGTGGAGGAGGCAGGTTGGCTCTTGTCACTGTGCCAGGGACAGAGGGATGTGCTGGAATTTTGTGCTGGAATGGGCACAGCTGCAGGGACAGGATCTGTGAGCTCATCTCCACCTCAATTCTCTTTATCAGAGAAGGAAAGGGCAGAACTGCTTGGAGTAGGGAAGGGTGGAAGTGTGAGGAGAGAGAGGCAGCGGCTGTAATTCCCTGTGAGGAGGGGGATGCACTGAGGCTGGAGCTGCTGCCCTGTCCCCAGGCAGGCAGGGACCATTGCAGAACATCCCTGTCCCCCTCTGTGGGGCTGGGGGACCTGGAGCGCCTCTTGTGCTCCATCCTCTGGCTGCCAGGTCCCAGCAGTGCCATGGATGTCTCTGCCTTTGCTTTACTCAGTGGTGAACAAGCAGCAAGCCTTGCTCTGCAGGATTTCCACAAGGAAATTCTACTTTAGGAATAAAGCCCTTCCTCCTGGCATGTAACTGCTCACCCCTTATTTTTCCTGCAGTTTCAGGAAATTCTACTTTAGGAATAAAGCCCTTCCTCCTGGGATGTAACTCTGCTCACCCCTTATTTTTCCTGCAGTTTCAGAGCAGTTGAGTTCAGGGTCATAAAAGTGAGGAGACATTCTTTGTGTCCTCTGTGGGCAGGACAAAACTTAGACCAAGGGACACATCAGACATAAGGAAACAAATTTATGAACAGTAAAGATGATTAAAACAATTGATTGAGGGGAAAAATGAGATTGTCTGTGGGACAGAGGATGGGTGAGCTGCCCTGCCTGACTCCCGATTTCCAGTTGTACATATAACCACTTTCTTTTATTTGTAAGCAGCTGGATATCTCCAAGTGTATTTATAACAAGATATTCCAACCTACCTATTCAAAGTGCTTTTCTTTCTTTTGTTAAGCTAATTATTCTTTATAAGAAAACAAAACAAAAAAATCCACAGATTAAAAACTGTAGGGCTAGAAAACTGTTGAGTTTGGATGAAAAGCAAAGCCTCAGACACTGGAATGTATTTCATAGGCAATAATCAGGCCCTGAGTATGCCAAACAAATATAAAAAGGCCTTTCATGCAGTAAGATGTATTTTAAAATAAATGGGCTCTTTGGTTTGAACATATGTTTTGCTTTGGAATTGGTCTGAGGGCCTTTCAGACAGAAGCACCACAAACCTATTTCCCTTTCTGCTTTTTTTTTGTGCTGTGCCTTCCAGGCTGTCTCCTGGTTTATTCACCAGGAAAATGAGGTCTCCTGACAAAAGTTTGACAGATGTCTGGCTGCAGCACAGCAGGGAGCAAGGCTGCAGGGATGTCACCACCCTGCACCAGGTCCCTCAGAAGCTGAACTCCTGGAGGTGAAATTGTGCCCTTCTCACAACAAAAACAGCTCCAGGAGTCATTGCAGTGTTTTAAGACATTTAGAAGGTCTATCACAGCTGTGAAATTTCTGTAGTAGTGTGAAAAATGGGAGTTTTGCTTGAGCTGGGGTGGGTGACAGACCCTGAGCACCCCTGCTTGCTGTTGGGATGGGGGATGTCTGTCCCCATCATGTCCCCAGCCTGTCTGTCAGTCACCCCTTCCCTTCTCTGGGCACACAGGTGCCCAAGACATACAAAAGGGAAGCCTGTAAGCACTTGGCAAATAGAGAATTTCTTTAAACCCAGGTCTTTTAAATGCAAATGAAACCTAGTGTTAGCTTCTGGTTCCTTTCAGCAGGAGTAATTGGAGCTAAGGTTTTATACATAGTAGTAATATATGCATCAAATCAATTAAGTGCTAGAAATGCTATAAACTGCTCTCTAAACCCAAGCCATTGAGTCCCAAACAGCAAGAGAAATGGCTGGAAGTGAGAGCTGAAAAATAAGAGAAAGGAACAAGGTACAAATATTTGACATTTATCCTCACTACTCTAGGAAATTACATTATGAGTAGGTTCATAAAGGGTGAAGCCTGTATCCATTTCTATCAGTTGGATTTTAAATGAAGCGTGGGAGTTGTAGTTGAACTGTAAATGCCTATTTTGCTGTAGGAACTGCAGAGCAAACCTCCTGCCCTCTGCTAGCAGGAAATCGGAGTAAGATTTTCATGATCTTTTCTGCCCTTTCAGGTTTACAAGGCAAATATATCCAAGCATATGTAGAAATACACACTTAGGTACTCCTGTAATTGTAACTTGCTTGCTGACTCTTGCCCTTTCCATCCATGATCCTTGTTTCTCTTAGTTCCTGATCCATTTTTCTTAACTATTTTTCTAGTAATTTCTAAATGTTTTCTGGTAGAATGTGGACCCAGACCTATTTTCTACTACTTAGAAAACAAGGCCAGTTTAGAATCTTAGTGTTTAAACTGCTATGAGATATCAACTTCTTTAGTTGCCTGGTGTTTGCTTGTTTTATAAAGCAGAAACTCTGAATGTTATTTAGGAACAAATAACCCAAATCCAACTTCCATTCTCTTAGATGGGATTTTTGAGGCTCTTCTGAGGTTCTTGTGTCCTCCATGCAGTTGCTACAAATTCCTTTTGCTTATGGCTTTTCTTTTTTCTTTCCCCTTTGGCTTGTTTGTTTGCAGAAAAAGATGGACAGTCGGGAATACCAGGATGCACAAGGTTTCGCAGCAGATATTCGGTTAATGTTCTCTAATTGTTACAAGTACAATCCTCCAGACCACGAGGTGGTGGCCATGGCCAGGAAGCTCCAGGTAAAGGTGTTGCCAAATGCATCTTCCAGAGTGTTTTTAGTTCAGCTACAAGGTGAGATCCAGGTGTGGATCTGCTCTTGGTACCAACAAGGGAGATTCCTCCAGCCCTTGGAAAGAGTCTTGTGCTCTCTGCAGGATTGTTGTGCTCTTCACATAGCATGGGCTCAATGCCATGTTCAGCTCCTAAAATATTACATTTAAAGTAATTGGAGGATTTTCTTGGGCTTTTCAGATGGGCAGCCATATTTTGTATATTATTATTTACTTGTAGTACACCTGCCCCTGATATATTTGAGACCAGAGTGAGCGGTCTGTGGCCGAGGCTCCTTTGGTCACCAATTTTCCTCCTTTTTGCAGGATGTCTTTGAGATGAGGTTTGCAAAAATGCCCGATGAGCCTGCAGAGGCCCCCCCTCCACCTCCCCCAACAGCCCCAGTGGTGAGCAAAAGCACAGAGAGCAGCCACAGCAGCGAGGAGAGCTCCTCAGACTCCGACAGCTCCGACTCCGAGGAGGAGCGAGCAACTCGGCTGGCCGAGCTCCAGGAGCAGGTACTGCACCATCCCAGCTGTGTGTCTGTGCATTAAACAGAACACAGCACCAGGAATTGTGTCCTGAAGAATCCCACCTAGGCTGGCATGCAGGGAAACATCCCCAGCCTAAGGGGAAAAGCATTCAGCTGTGCAGTCAGTGCATGTTGGATGTAACGGTGATTTTCTTCAAGATGGTTTTTCTCACTGCTGATGCTCTCCTTCCTTCTGGGATCCCAGAGTATGAGCTGCTTGATTTTTGGCTTTAGGTTATACTTACACCTTGGGATGTAGAGGGAAGGCTTTGTGGAGGCAGCAGTTACCTTGCCTTGATGGTTTTTCCCCTGTCTCCCCCCAGCTGAAAGCCGTCCATGAGCAGCTGGCTGCACTGTCCCAAGCGCCAGTGAACAAACCAAAGAAAAAAAAAGAGAAGAAGGAGAAAGAGAAGAAAAAGAAAGATAAAGAGAAGGAAAAAGAAAAGCACAAAGTCAAAGCTGAGGAGGAGAAGAAACCCAAGGTGGCTCAACCACCAAAACAAGCCCAACAGAAGAAAGCCCCAGCTAAGAAAGCGAACAGCACAACCACAGCTAACAGGTGAGAGCCTTGAGGGGAGAGCCAAGACCTTCCAGCTCTGCCCCTAATTCCTGGGGAAGCTCAGTAGTTGTTAATTTGCTGCTGAATACTGTTCCCATTCCCAGACAACTCCAGGGAGTCTTTAACTTGGAGCTGGCAGTGGAACCACTGTGTTTTCACTGTCCAGCTCTTTGAATCCCTGCCTGATTGCTCTCAGATAAGGTTTTGGGGGGGGTTGCCTTTTGTGCAGCCTCCAAGAACTTGCCATTTCATGGCTGCTCCCCTGCTGCTACTTGGGCTCATTGTCACACTTCACAGGGCTAAAATATAATAGGAACACAACAGCTGATCTCAGGCTGCTGAACTTTTTCAGCACTTGTGCTGCTGTTCCAGCCATCTGACGAGAGCTTCAAAGCCAAGAGCACGGGGATGTTTGTTACGAGGGAGTCAGGGGCAAAAAAAAAAAAGAATTCATTGCTGTGTCCCCATGAATGTTTTCATGCTTGACAACCTCCCCAGGCAGCCCAAGAAAGGAGGCAAACAGGCATCTGCAACCTACGACTCGGATGAGGAAGAGGAAGGGCTGCCCATGACCTACGACGAGAAGCGACAGCTCAGCCTGGACATCAACCGCCTGCCCGGGGAGAAGCTGGGCAGGGTGGTTCACATCATCCAGTCCAGAGAACCCTCCCTCAGAGACTCCAATCCCGACGAGATTGAAATAGATTTTGAAACCTTGAAGCCCACAACGTTACGAGAACTGGAGAGATACGTGAAATCTTGTTTACAGAAAAAACAAAGGAAACCATTTTGTAAGTCAACCTCCCGGGGCATGTGTTCCCCCCAGCAGCTCTTGGGCTCAGCTCTGGAGTCAGGGCACGTGTATTGAGATTCTCTTATCCACCTGGTGGGAATGTGGTGGCAGGAATTTTTAGAGATTCTTTTCTCCCAAGGAAATGTACAGAAACTTCCTGTTTTTCTCTGTTCTTTCTTCCCATGGTGTCCTGCTGCAGAGACCTGGAGAGCCAATGTGTTCCTCTGCAAGACCTGTGGGATGCCTTTATTACTTACCCAGGCTCTGGAAGGCCCTGTAAAGGTTTCAGTCTCATTGTGTCAGGTGTTACATGCATACATCTGGAAGGATCAGTTTCTTATCCTGAATAGTTTAGCATCTAATTAGGAGGGAAACAAAAAACGTGGCTGGGATCCAAACCACCAAGGCAATAAATGATTTGCACAAGGTTACCTGGTTACCTGTGGATTCTGGGTGTGTCTGAGTTGTGTATTCACCCCAAAACTGCTCTTGCTGTGTGTCCTGATCACCACATTGGCCTCACCCTCTGTCAGTCCAGAGGGTGAATGTCAATCTGCTGCTGAGGGTGTGGTTCAGTGTGGGACAGACTTTAATTTGTCCACAAAGGGAATTCCTGCGGCCCCTGGAGAGTTTAGCTCCAGCTGGACAGCAGCAGGATCACTTACCTGAACTGCTCCTGGCCCTCTTGGTTAAGGGAGTTTTGCTTTTAAGATTATGACTCAAAAGCTACTCCTTGCTCTTGCGGAGCATCTCCATTACTTCCTCAGGATTTTCAGGAAAGCCTATGCAAAGCACAGACTTTGACCTTTCTTTTTCCTTAATTTTTTTTTCCCCCTGAATCCTTCAGTGTTGGCCTAGCTCAGGAAAGGATTTTTCAGAACAGGAAAGCATCCTTCAGTTTTGGAACCAGAGCACAGAGTAACACAGATAACCTCAGATATCCACTCTGTGAGCCTGACATGCCTGAGCCTGGCTGGACTCCTGTGCTGAGTGTTCCCTCTTAGGACTGTGCTTTCCAGTTTTCTTTTTTTGTTGTTTTTTTTAAACAGCTCACAGAAATGTAGGTATTTCCTTGCTGGATCAGGCAAAATATCTGGCTCCTGTCTTGTGCTTCCATTCCTGGCCAACACCTGTGTTCAATTACTCCTCCTTTGGAGGAATATTTCCTTTCCTTGCCAGTGTGAGTGTTGCTGGTCCTTCTGACCCTTTCCATCCTGATGCAGTTACATTCCTGTTGTCTGCCAGCCTTTGCCTCAGTTGGTTTTTAATTTGCCCTTGTTTGTTTTGTTTTCTATTTAGAGCAACATAAACCACAGTAGATTCTTGCGTGAGGGGATCGGAAGTTTTAATGGCAGATGCTTTTCTCCTGACAACCTTTAATGGGACACTTTATTTTACAGGGCAGAAAACCCATGTAACAATTCTGTAATTACAAATCTGTAATTATTGACCATATAACTGGCTGGTAAGTAACCTGTAATGACAAGGTTATTACATGGCTATTTCTATCTTCTAAAATACTTTTCCAGAAGATCTCTCTTAAAAAAAAAAAATTGCATGTTAACAGGATGGTGGTGATTTGATGAGCAAGGCAACTTCAGGTGTTGTCTTCTCTCTGGGATGTGTAGTTGCTGTGTGAGCACTGGATGTTGGCAGTGTCACTGCAGAGTGTGCACACAGGTGTACATGCCCTGTAAAATAGTGATGTCCACTCTTTCCCCCTGCATCCCTTGCACTTTCAGAAACTCTGCCTTCCTCCCCCACAGCTGCCAGTGGCAAAAAGCAAGCAGCAAAGTCAAAAGAAGAGTTAGCTCAGGAAAAGAAGAAAGAACTAGAAAAACGGTTACAGGACGTCAGTGGGCAGCTAAACAACAACAAGAAGCCTGCAAAGAAAGGTAATGGCTTTGGCTTTATGGGAACACAGCACCTCAAAAGTGAACAGACTTTGTCACAGGGTCCAAACCTCTGCCTTGGGTTTGTCCCTGTGACAGGAACCCTCAGGGAGTTCCCTCTGAGCTGCTGTGTGGGGCTGCCAGGTCTGGGGGGCAATTCCTCCTTCAGAGGGAGGAGGATCTCCCCTGTGTTAACCTGGTGTGCAGCCCACACCACAGAGCTGCTAACACATGGGGTTAAAAAAATCCCAAACCCCCACATTGCTCAGGATGCTCCAAAAGGTTCCCCTGGTGCAAATAAAGCTTTCACCAGGGGATTTCTGTGCTCAGAGGTGACACTGCCCCACAGCAGAGCTCCTCTGTGCATCCCAAACTTCCACAGTTTAAGGTAAATTTGGGAGAAAACTTTTGAAGGAGCTCTTCTAAAAAGCAAATTTTAAAAAATCAGCTTTTTTTTAAACTGATTCAGGAGAATATTTATTTGGAGAAAAGTGGAAAAAAACTATTTATTTAATAAGCAAAGCATTTACTAGTACAAAAAATAAATATTATTAAACAATAAAACTTTTTGCTGTTTTAAAAAAGATTATAAATTCAGAAAGTCTGTTTTGTGGGCTGTAGCTGGACTTAGTCTCTTATCAATCTTTTTGGTGTTGGAAATGCTGTGGCTCAGGCTTGGCTTGGTGGGCTACAGGTGTGAGCTGTAGGTGCTCTTTTGGGTGTTCAGTTTAGAGTAGGTTTAAACAGGTCTAAAGAAAAATAAAAACTCCAGTTTAGGGAACTTCTCTGCTTCAGCTAGCTAAAAACTAACTAAAAGCAAAGGAGAGCTTTGTCTTGCTGTCTGTCTGTCTGTGGTGGTGTTTGCAGGGGTCCCAGGATGAGGGAAGAGATGAGGATCTGACTCCATGTTTCAGAAGGCTTGATTTATTATTTTATGATATATATTATACTAAAACTGTACTAAAAGAATAGAATGAAGGATTTAATCAGAAGGCTAGCTAGGAAAGGAATGGAATGATAATAAAATTGTGTGTCTGACCAAGAGTCTGAGCCAGCTGACTGTGATTGGCCATTAATTAGAAACATCCAACATGAGACCAATCCCAGATGCACCTGTTGCATTCCACAGCAGCAGATAATCATTGTTTACATTTTGTTCCTGAGGCCTCCCAGCTTCTCAGGAGAAAAAATCCTAAGGAAAGGATTTTTCATAAAACATGCCTGTGATATCTGTCTGTCCAGCAGCAGGAATGCGGAGGAGTGAGAGGAGTTTGTTTTCACAAACTCCACACTGCTTTTCTCTCCTCCTTTGCTCTCAGAACCAGCTTTAAAGGTGCAAAACTTCTTATCCAGCAGCATAAAGAGAACAACTGGGGATTACCAGCATGATTTAGCCAGCCCAGGGCTGTGGTGGTGTTCACAGGGGTCCCAGGATGAGGGAAGGGACGAGGATCTGAATCCATGTTTCAGAAGGCTGATTTATGATATATAATATATTAAAATAAAGGCTGATTTATTATTTTATGATGTATATATTATATTAAAACTATACTAAAAGGATAGAAGAAAGGCTTTCATCAGAAGGCTAGCTAAGAATAGAAAGGAATGATAACAAAAGCTTGTGACTCTCAGAGTCAGAGCCAGCTGACTGTGATTGGCCATTAATTACAAACAACCACATGAGACCAATCACAGATGCACCTGTTGCATTCCACAGCAGCAGATAACCATTGTTTGCATTTTGTTCCTGAGGCCTCTCAGCTTCTCAGGAGAAAAAATCCTTAGGAAAGGATTTTTCATAAAATGTCTGTGACATCTCTCTGTCTGCAGACAGCGCAGTCCAGCAGCAGGAATGTGGAGGAGTGAGTGCAGTGTCTGAAAACAAACTCCACACTGCATTTGTCTCCTCCTTTGCTCTCAGAACCAGCCTTAAAGGTGCAAAACTTCTTATCCAGCATGAAGAGAACAACTGGGGATTACCAGCATTGTTCAGCCAGCCCAGGGCTGTGGTGGTGTTCACAGGGGTCCCAGGATGAGGGAAGGGACGAGTATCTGAATCCATGTTTCAGAAGGTTGATTTATTATTTTATTATGTAAATTATATTAAAACTATAGAAGTTTTATAGAAAAATAAAATTAAAACTAATTATATTAAAAGAATAGAAGAAAGGCTTTCATCAGAAGGCTAGCAAGGAATAGAAAGGAATGATAACAAAAGCTTGTGACTCCCAGAGAGTCCGAGCCAGCTGACCGTGACTGGCCGTTATGGACCAATCCCAGATGCACCTGTTGCATTCCACAGCAGCAGATAACCATTGTTTACATTTTGTTCCTGAGGCCTCTCAGCTCCTCAGGAGGAAAAGCCCTAAGGAAAGGATTTTCCATCAAATGTCTGTGACACTGGGCAGCAGCGCTGCCACCCCGTGGGTCAAACAGGGCACGAAGGGGAACAACCCTGGTGTCCCCCAGCTCCCTGTGAGTAACCCCATCCCTGCCTGTCCCCTCCCTGTGAGTAACCCATCCCTGCCTGTCCCCGCAGAGAAATCCGGCTCCGCTCCCTCCGGAGGCCCCTCCCGGCTCAGCAGCAGCTCCTCCTCCGAGTCCGGGAGCAGCAGCTCCAGCGGCTCCAGCTCGGACAGCAGCGACTCGGAATGAGCAGGGACACACGGACACACCCCCAAACGGACACCCCTGCTCTGCAGCGTCCCCTCCCCTCCTTACCCCTGCTCTCGGGCCACGGTGGTCAGGTTTTATCCCCTCTCTCTTTTCTCTGACTTGTTTTTTATTTTATTTTTTAACTCAGTGTTACAAAAGGTATTTTCCTTTTTTTTTTTGGGGGGGGGCTCTCTTTTAATAGGTCAAAGATCTTTGAGTGTGTGTGTGTGACTAGACTTTATGACAAATAGGTCCCTTTGCATAAAGTCTCTAAAATTTACATTTATCTGGAGAAAATTGGTCGAAAATGGAAGAACTTTGAGCTCTTAGCAGGAGATAAATAGAAAATTCTGCAAGGTTTGTAGTACATTTCCCTCCCAGCCCTTCCCTCTCCCCAGAATATTCTCTTTTAATAAGCCTGCCTGGCTCACACAAGGTAAAAACCATCTTTTTTTAAAGAAATCTCTGTAAAATGGTACTGTATCTGAAAGATGTTAGCTTTTGAACTAGTTGGTGTATTTGTTATTAGCACTAGTATTCTTAATCTCCAAGTCTACAGTGTGATGAAAATGTCAGATGCTATCATCTTTTTTACATAAAAACAACAAAAAAAAATCCAAAAAAATTCTCATGTACTGTGGATTGCTAACATGCTTTTTTTTTTAAATCTTGCTAGAGGCATAGGCACCTGTTCAGGAAGGTCTTGAAGCATGAATTTAACTTTTAAGCACACAAGCAATAGAAATTGGTTGCATTTCTTGGTTTTCCACTCAAAAGCTTCACTTTTCCTGGGGATTCATTGGGAAGAAGGGAGCAAGGGACACACTCAAGTTTCTTGGGAATGTTATTTTTACCATTAAACAGATCATTTCCAGGAAATGGGGCGCTCTCTATGAAAGTTTCCATGGAATTGTCAGGAGGTTTTTTTGGCTGGGAGTTGTCAGCTGGAGCCTGGAGTGATCCCTGCAGTGCCCAGCACGAGTCATGTGCCCATTGCTGGGCACATCTTGGGCATTTTCTCCATGACAAACACCTCAGGCTGGGCTTAAAATAAAGCAGCACTTGAGCTCCAGCTGAGCCTGAGCTGGCAGGGGAAGTGGAGAGGGATTATTTTGTGTGTGTTTGGGCTTTTTGCTTTTGAGTTTGCTTTGCTTTTCTCCCTTCTCCTCATAGGAGTGAGCTCCTAGAAAAGGGAATGCTCCTCCTGTGTCAGGCAGGGTTCAAGTTCCAGGCACTGAAATGTTTTACCTCAATGAAAAGAAGAAAGAGGGGAGGGAGGAGAAAAAAAAAAAAAAAAAAGCTAATTTTTTTAAAGCTTGCTATTTTTTTAAAGCTTGCTAATTTTTTTTTAAAGCTTGCTAATTTTTTTCAGCCCAGCCTAATGTTTTGATCCGCACTGCTGCAAATACACCCTGGTTTCAGTGTCCCTAATTTCATGTATATACCATGATTTTATTTATTAAACACTATTGGTCGTTTAAAATATCATAAAATCTAACAAAAGCAAAGCTGAGGTTTTGCAGACCAGCAGACAGGAAGACTTTTAATGAGGTTTGAACCAGATTAAAACAAACAAACAACAAAGCAAATAAAAATCCACAATTTTATTTATATACCTTGGACTTTCTACCTACAGGTGCTACAGTCCAGTCTCTCGTGTGTCTGGTGCTCTGTCATGTTTGGTGTGTTAATTTTTAGATTTTTTTCCTCTTCTTCTCACCCCAGCTCCCTTTTTTCCTGTTTTGTACAGATTTTGGAGACATACACATCAATACAATTTTATTTTCTCAGTGGTCTTTTTTCCTCCCCTCTTTTTTTTGTTTTGGTAGAACAATGGGGGTTTTATCCTTTTCTAATCCAATTTTAGGGAAATGCCAATTCTATAATTACATCCAATTTGTAATCTGAGGGGCAGAAGTTTTATTGTAAATTCTTTTTATTGTAAAGAAAAAAAAATACACAGAATTTAACAGAAAATTCTGCCTTTCCATCTCCAGCACCAGCCCCTAAAACTGCCTCTCCCCTGTGGGGTAGCCCAAAAATTCACCTTCTGTGCTCTCCCAGTGGTGGAGATTACTCCAGATTTTATTTTCCCTGCAGGTGAGTGGTCCTGGAGGGCCCCTCAAGGCCAGCCCAGATTTCCTTTCACAGCAATGGAAAGAAAAATGTTCTGATTTTTACTGAAATCCATGATTTTTCTTTTCCATTAACAATGGAGTTCTGCTTTTTATTTTCATGATTTTTCTTTTCCATTAACAATGGAGTTCAGTTCTGATTTTATTTTATTTTTTTTTAAGTTCTGCCCTTACAAAACCTTCCCCCAGCCAGATCCCTGGTAATATATTTTAAGAATTTACTATGAGGAAATGTAATATTCACCTAATTAAGAGCTTGGGTTTCTTTTCAATGGGGTTGGGTTTCACCTGTGTTTCTCCTGTTGCCTGCAACTTGAATGATCAAAACCAAGGAATATTTTAAGGAATAATTGCAACCAATTCACTGCCATGGCTTTTGGATAAACAAACTCCCAATTTTCCCTTCCTGGGACCTTTTCCTGCCTGCTTGACCCTGAGCTGTGGTGGGGAGGACAAACTGGAGGCAACACAGAAAATCCTGGGAATTTCAGCTCTGGAATCTCACCAGGAACAACCCCTGGGACACACAGACATCCCTCAGGAGGCTGCCCCACCAGAATTCCTTGGAAAAGCTGGAGCCTGAGGGTTGAGAACCAGGTGTGAGGTGATGGGAGAAGGCGTGGCTGAGGCTGGCCCAGCATCCTGCAGGAGCATCCCTGGAAAATCTGCCAAGGCCACCGCGGAATGGGAACCATGTGCTGCACATCCTGATCCACCAGCTGCAACTTGGGCTTCCACTTCTTGGGAAACTTTGCACGGAAAGTGAGGTGTTCCCAACCAAATGGAGCAAGGAGAAATCCATTTTGGCATGACTGAGGGAAGAATTTGGTGACTCCTCCCTTCCAAATGCTGTCCTCACACTTTTCCATTCCCAGCTTGTTTGTAGTGCTCTTTATCCCCCCACCATGTCCATGGGGGTGCCTCTTGTACATCCTGAGTTTCTCCAGGAAAGAAAAGATGTTTCCAGTCCAGAGTAAGTAGCAGCAGTCCTCAATGAGTTGGGAACTGAAGCAACAGAGCATTTATTTAACTGGGTTTTATTGCATGACACGTCAGTCCAGATGTCACAAAATAACATGGAAACAAACACACAACGTTTGAAGGACATTTTTAAACTTAAGAATAAAAAAGAAAAAAAAAAAAGGAAAAAAAAAATTAAAATTTTTATGGTAGAATTTTTCTTGAATGAACAAAGTTTAACTTTGTTTTCCAGGGGAAACTTCACTGAAATCAGTATGATTTCATATGTATGCATACACACAGAGTTTTATTGAAACTGCTTTTTTCGGACTAATTCCTGTTTTGACAAAATATCTGACCAGACCTTTCTCAATCAACCAGCATTACTGCACCTTTTAAAAAAAAACAAAAACTTTGTGAACCTTTTCTCTGATTGTAAACTCAGCCTGTCTCGTGGCTCAGTGGGACCAGAGGGAGATCCCATCCCAGCGAGCGAAGGAGTCTCAGCTCTCTGCACACCAATTGTGTCATCCACACAACAAAACCATTGCAGCTCTTGTACTGGTGTGGTTTGAACCTTGCCTGCCCCAGGGTCGGTGAGTGTGGGAGTGATGTTTCAGGGCTGTGTCACTGCTGGCAGGGTGGTGACCCCCAAACACACACACAAACATTTCTGTGTGTGGAAATGCACAGCCGAGTTCCCCCTGAGCTCTCTTCCCTCTTCTCTGTGTGGTAGAAGCAGACTGCAGTTACCTAATCTAGTTCTTTCTCTGCTTTGGGGACTTTTAGAGCAGTTTTTAATTTTGGGTTTTTTCCTTGTTTTGAAAGGAATGATTTTTTTTTAAAAAGCTGGGGTTGGAGCTGAGGGGAAGGGATCGGAGCATGACAAAGACAAACCACAACCTTTTTAGTACTGGATTTTAAATTCTCAGTCTCTTCTCAACCCTGAGCAGCTACCACTAGGGCTAACTGTGGGCAGGCTCTGCATCAGTAAAGAGAAATTTAGGATTCCTTACACAGCAGCGTTATCTTGCTTTGAGCTGCATTTTGTAAAGAAAATGGTATTTGCATATCTTTTTAAAATGTCATTTTTAAAAAATAAATTAAACCACCAGCTAGGATTTGACACAGGCCACTTAGAACACAGCCCTGATACTGGCATAACCAATCCAGAAAGATTTGTTGTTGTATTTTTTTGTTTTGTTATTTTGGGGTTTTTTTAATATTTAAAAATAAAAAAGAAATTGTTACTTTTCTGTATGATGTGCATGCAAATTTACCGTAACTCTTTTTCTTAAAACTTTTTAGTGCCATTTCTAGTATATTCCTGTAAATGTCAGTTATTGAAAAGAAATGAGTCAATGTAAGTAGTTTAGCTTGTTTATTGCAAATTGCTGGCCTCAAACAAAACAGAATTAAAAAAAAAGAGTTAGAAAGTAATCTTTGATGTTACTGGTAATCACGGACCCTGGTCCTGGGGCATTCGTTTTGTTTTCATAATAAAAAGAAAAATTGTTTGGTGTGTGCAGTTTGATCCCATCTTTTCCCCTCTCCTCATCTTTTCCAGGTGTGGACTGGGCAGTGCCAGGAGCCAAACCCCAGGGTGTTGAGTCCTGGAGTATTTTGGGAGTTGTTTTGGGGAATGTCAGAGTGGGGCAGCTCTGGGGTGTCTGAATCACAGCTCAGTACCTGCAATAAAACTCCTTTAAATCCCCTTTTTTTGGCGAGGGAAACTCAGCTGTTTCCATGTCCCAGGGCAGCCAAGGAAGGGCTTGAGTTCTTCCCAGCAGGGTCTTAAATTCTGTGAGAATTGCTCCTGATTGAGGTAAGTTGGGCTGAAAAGAAATCCAATTTCACTTCTTGGAAGCCACCAGGAGCTGCAGGAAGCAGAGGGACTTTGTGAGCTCAGGGTGACCTGGAGCAGCTGTGCCAGTGCCAGCACAGTCCTGGCATTGCTGTGTGGGGGCCAGGAGCTATTTTGGTCACCACAGAGGGTTGGGGTTGCTTTTGCTGTTTGCTTTTTGTGTTTTTGTGTGTGAGGTGGGGTTAGCACAGCCAGGCTGCCCCAGGGTTAATCTTTGTCTAACCCTGTTCCTGCTCGCTGCCCCTCCAAGGCTTCAGCAAAGCTCTTCCACGCTGCTCCTGCAGCAGGGACACTCCAGGGGCTGTTTGTCCATCCTGTCCCCTAAACAGTCTCCTGTGAGGCAGGTGAGGATGTTGCTGAGGCATTTGCAGGTGAGTTCTTTCTGGGGGCAGCCAGCAGAGCCGTTTCTTCAGGCTGGAAGGAGGCTGAGGACACACAGGACACAAAGTTCAACTCTCGCTGCTCATGCCTTGAATCCTGGGGCTGCCAGAGGGACATTGAGGGGCTGGAATGAATCCAGAGGAGGGAACAGAGCTGGGGAAGGCTCTGGAAAGTGTCCTGTGAGGAGCAGGTGAGAGATCCTGGGGGAAAAGGAGGCTCAGGGGAAACCTTGCTCTCCACAGCTGCCTAAACCAAGGCTGTGAGGTGGGGTTTGGTCTCTCCTAGGTAACTCCTGCCAGGACAAGAAGGAACAGCCTCAAGCTGCATCAGGGCAGGTTCAGGTTGGACAGCAGCAGCAATTCCTTTGAGGAAAGGGTGCTCAGGCATTGCCAGAGGCTGTTCAGGGAGGTTTGGGGTCCCCATCCCTGGAGGTGCCCAAGGAAGGGCTGGATGTGGCACTCAGGGACAAGGTGGGGATTGGGCACAGGCTGGATGTGACAATCTCTGAGGTCTTTTCCATAATTCCCTCACTCAGTGTGACATCCAGAGCTTATCCTGACGGTGCTGCTGGCCTTGGGGAGCTGGAGGAGCCTCCCACAGCTCCCAGCCCAGTGGTGTGCCTTGGGAACCCCACCAGTAACTGAGGGGATTCCTCCTTCCCAAAAGGGGAATGCCAAAAGCTGTCACCTGTGCCAGGGGAAAAACAGCCACTCCCAGAGCTGCATTCAAATCATTTTAATGCACTTTATCAAAGAGGCTACAACAGTGTTTGAAACAAGTGCATCAGCACCACACAGCTGGCTCACAGAACAGCCACAGCAGCCATCCACAGCCCTGCTGTGACCAGTGACACACAGAAATGGAAAACTACAGTCACATTCACAGAGATGGAAGGACAACTCATCCTCTTCTTCCCGCAGTGTCACATCCAGCCTCCATCCTGGAAGAATTTATGCACATTCTTACGGGTTTAGTCTTGTTCTGTAAAATAACTGAATTTTGGTTTACCAGCCACGTTAACAAAAAGAGACTGATTATACCCAAAATAAGCATCTTCCTCACTAAAATTAAAAAGAAAATAAAGTGTTGCATTTCTTTTTCTATAAGAAAAGAAAAATGAACAGCTGGTTTGGGGGATGTGCTGTTCCTTAAAACTCCCAGAGTTCACGTGCTCCCCAGGGCTGGCCTGGAACCCACCTCCCTCTCCAGGTGAATCCACCTGCAGTTCCCAGGGGAGCTCTGGGCCCAGCCCCTGCTTGCTGGAGTAAATAATCTCCCTGTTCACTCAGCCAGGAGCTGGAGGCCCAGGTGGGTCACACATCCCTGGCACTGCTCCCCCAGCACCCTGCCAAGCCTCGCTGGCTTTGTGGATCTCACTGCACTCGCTTGAAAAAACATTTATTCACTGGCTTGTTTCTCCTGCAGAGCTAGTCCTGACAAAAGCAAGAGGGTTATTTGTGTGCAGAGCAATGCACAGGTCTGCAAAGCAGCGAGGTTTAAATCTATGAGCACACACACACACACACACAAGGTATCAAACACCAACACATGCAGAAATAGTGCTTTAAAAAAACAACCAGCTGCCTATTGTTTGCAGTGCTATGGAGCAGGGCTGAGTACACCAAACCTCTATGATTTCACTCTAGGACAGGTGTGTTCTGCTCAGTACATTGAGTTCAGCAAGGTTGAGTGTCTGTGTGTTTGTTTGTAGCATTTCACCCACACGGGAGAGGTGGAAGAGATTCTTCATTGCGTTAAAAAAATAAATAAAGTGCTTGAAAATAACACAAAGGAGGTTTTAGATAAATAGAACAGAATTAATGAGTGTGCCTAATAATAGGCAGGTAAATAATCCATCCTGAAGCTGACATCAAATGCTGATTTGCCTGGAGCTAAGCCTGTGCCCAGGCACTGCTGGGTTGCACACATGGCCTAGGCAGGACAGAAAGGGCAGAACCCTGAAGAATTTCCATGCTGAACCCTGGGTACATAATTCACACCCCTGCAAGTGGTAGTTCTGTGTTTAACAAAGATTCAGGTGCTTGCTGGGCTGAGTTCCTCCTCAGCATGATCTTGCCTTGAGCAAGTCAGGATTCAGCAGAAACTTAAACCTGAAAGCAGCAGCCTCTGTGCCCGAGCAGGGCAGTGCTTCTCCCTCCTAAAATCCTCCAGTTAATCGTAACAATCCCAGACACAACTTCTACAATACATGCACCAAACCTACAATCCAACCTGAACTGGAAGTTAAACCCTTCCAAGCTACTGCATGCATTAAAACTCGAATGCAAAGCAAATTCCAGTGGCCTCTTTCCTCCTGCAGCCCATCCCAGGAGTGGCTCTGGGCTCTGCAGGAGTTTCCTGGTGTCCCTTAGGATATGTGTGTATTTACAGGGGTTTCCTGCTGTTGATTTC